CTGCCACTACTACTACGATTACTACGACTACTACGATTCATATTTCCACGAGTGCTACTACGACGACGTCTATTATTAGCACTACTAGTTTTGTTACTGCTTCTTCTTCTTCTACTACTACCATATACTACGAGTACTACCACTACTACTACTGCCACAACTGCTACGACGGCTACTACTACTACTACGACGACTACGACTACTATTACTACTACTACTACTACTACTACTACTACTACTACTACTACTACTATCACTACTACTGGTACTGCTACTACGACGACTACTACTACTACTACTACTAGTACTAATACGACTACTACTACTACTACTACTACTACTACCACTACTACTACTACTACTACTACAACTACTACGACTACGACTACGACTACTCGAACTACTACTACTACTACTACTACTACTACTACTACTACTACTATTAGTACTACTACGACTACTTTCACTACTAATACTACTATTACTACTACTACTACTACTACTATTACTACTACTAATAATAATAATACTAATACTGATACTACTTTTACTGCTACTACTACTACTACTACTACTACTACTACTACTACTACTACTACTACTACTACTACTACTACTACTACTACTACTACTACTACTACTACTACTACTACTACTACTACTACTACTACTACTACTACTACTACTACTACTACTACTACTACTACTACTACTACTACTACTACTACTACTACTACTACTACTACTACTACTACTACTACTACTACTACTACTACTACTACTACTACTACTACTACTACTACTACTACTACTACTACTACTACTACTACTACTACTACTACTACTACTAGTACTACTACTACCACTACTACTACTACTACTACGACTACTACTACTACTACTACTACTACTACTACTACTACTACTACTACTACTACTACTACTACTACGACTCTCACCTCCGCCTCATATTCCTCCTTGGATCCTGATTATTATCCTCTTCCTCCTCATTATCATCCTCATCCTCCTTCTTGTCCTCCTGTCCTCCTCCTACTCGTTCTCCTTCTCCTCTTCCTCCTACCCCTTCTCCTCCTCAACCTCCTCCTCCTCCTCCTCCTCCTCCTACTGCTCCTCCTCCTCCCGTTCCTCCCCATCCACCCTATCCTCCATCACGTCCTCCACCTCCTCTTCCTCCTTCTCCTACTCCTGCTCCTCCTCTTCCTACTCCTGCCTCTCCTCCGCCTCCTCCTCGTCCTCCTCCTCCTCCGCCTGCTCCTCCTCCTCCTCCTCGAGGGCAAGGCGGGAGGGCTGCCACAGTGCACAAGTTCGGTCCAAAGCTGGGACACGTCCAACCCAAGTCATCCGATTTCAGCCCTCCCCGAGGAGGGTCGCGCATGTGCCTCTCTGGGGCAGCCGGAGGCCTCCAGGGATCTCAAGGGACCTCCAGGACCCTGGAGAGTAGGATTTTGCAAACCAGGATGTTGTCACATCCAGTTGGACAAAACGCAGATTCGGACCACGCCTACACTTTTCTCGGGCGCACCATGATCCTGATTTGTCAACGTCCCGCGTACAGGGCCTTGAGGAACTCCAGCGATTTCCCCATCCTCCTTATTGTCCTTCTCCGTCTGCTTCTCCTCGTCCGTCTCCTCCTCCCCCCGCTCCCCCTCCACAGGATCACCTACAGTTTCGTGGAACCCACTCAAACTGTTCAGGACCATCTGAAACCCACCCAATCCCCAGAATCTTCTGGACACCTCAATAATCATCCCCATACTTCTCTCCCTCATCCTCCCTTCTAAGCTTTCCCTCACGTCTCATGGAGCGCGTTGTGACCAGGATTCCGAGGCAGATCCAGCTGTGGCGGCGAGGGGGCAGAAGGAGGAAGAGGAGGTGGAGGAGGAGAAGGACGAGGAGGAGAAGGTGGAATAGGAGGAGGACCCGCACATATGATGAAGAGTTCTCTTCGCCATGGTGCATTGCTGCAGCCAGCTAGCTGAGCAGGAGTAAGAGGAGAGCGACCGCGACGGCGACGGTGACGGCGACAGCGAAGACTTGGACAGGGAAGGCCAATCTACTTGAGCGGGCCCCAGGAATGCATCGACAGCGCCGTCGAGAAAATCGAGGCCTTGGTCAAGGAGCGCAGAAGAGGGAGGTGGAGGAGGAGGAGGAGGATCAGCAGGAGGAAGAGCAGGAGGAGGCGCTGGAGGAGCGAGGATTGAGGTTGTTGCGCGTCTTTTGCCTTGTTCAGACCTGGGGCACGCTCGTCGCCGGGGCTGGGCCCGGTTCGACTTCCTGGTCAGAGCGCGGCCCAGGAGAAGTCCAGGGGCCGATGTGTGAGGGAAGAGGCGTGGCCTGCTGGCCCGTATCCGAATTCCTTGGAGGCGCCTTGAGCTGTATGATGCTCTCAAGGGCTAGTTTGGATCTGCCCAAAGACCGCCTTCCCCTGTTTACAATATCTTTATCATCCCCCGTCGCCTCCCCCTCCTCCCTTCTCATCCCTCCCCTTACGCGGCTGAATGTCGGGAAGGTCGGGGGCATTGGTGCCTGACTTGAAGTGCGCTCGCGTCGTGATATGTTGGTCGGCCTCTCGGATATGACAGAAATGTTCTGAGCCGTTCCGTCATTCTTCCTCCTCCTCCTCATCATTCTCCCCCTCCCTCTCCTCCTCATCTTGCTCATCAGCACCAACATCACCATCATCAGCATCATCAACATCGTCATCATCACCAGCAGCACCATTATCGTCATCACCGTCATCATCATACTCAGTTGTCATCATACTGATCCTCCTCACCATCATCATCAGCATCACCATCTTCATCATCATCATCATCACCATCATCATGATCATCATCATCATGATCATCATCATCAGCAGCAGCATCGTCGTCGTTATCATCGTCACCGTCGTCATCATTATATCAGCCAGCGTTGACTCCAAATAGATAGGAGGACAGGAGGCGGACGAGAGGAGGATGGGAGGAGGACGAAAGGAGGACGGGAGCAGGACGGGAGGAGGACGGGAGGAGCAAAATCAAGCAAGCGCAAGCAAGCAAGCGGAAGCAAGCAAGCGCAAGCGAGCAATAACAAGCAAGCAAGAGCCAGCGATCAAGTGCAAGCAAGCAAGGGCAAGCAAGAGCAATCAAGCAAGAGCAATCAAGCAAGCAAGAGCAAGCAAGCGAGAGCCAGCGATCAAGTGCGTGCAAGCAAGAGCAAGCATAGGACTCGCCATTGGAAAAGTTTGGGGCCATTGGAAATAAGGAGGGGTGCCATTGGAAAAAGGGTGGGGGGGAGGGGGGTGCCATTGGAAATAAGGGGGGGCATTGGAAAAGGGGGGTGCTAAAAACCCATTACTTATGATGAGCTAGGACTTCTATAGGGCAAGCCTATTTGGAGAATCATCATCATCAGCATCATCATTATCATCGTCATCATCCTCGTCATCATCACCGTCACCATCATCATCAGTATCAGCGTCCACAGTATCGTCGTCATCACCATCATCATCATTAGCATCATCAGCAGCATCATCATGACCGTCACCCCCACCATCAGGGAGGAGGAGGAGGAGGAGGAGGAGGAGGAGAAGGAGCTCTCCGTTTCGGCATCGAACTTGCCGCCGTAGACCGAACCGAGGAAGAGGAAGAGGAGGAGGAGAAGGAGGAGGAGGAGGAGAAGGAGGAGGAGGAGAAGGGGGAGGAGGAGGGGGGGAGGAGGGGGAGGAGAAGGCACGGCGCCCAGCAGGCGCACGCCCGAAGGGCGGGGGCACGCTGATCACATGTAGGTGTGCACGTACTGACCGAAGACGTAGACCATGTGCAGGGCATAGACCACGTCGACCATGTGCAGGGCATACGTCGACCTACGTCCACGTAGACCACGCGACCACGTAGACGTAGGCGGTCACCCCTCCGTAGAAGCGGGTTATCCTCGCCGCTTCCTCCGCTGCTTCCTCCCACCTGCAGCCGGAGGAGGTTCGCCAGGAGGACCGCTTCCAGCCGGCGAGCGCGCCGCCCGGCCGATTCGGTGTCGCAGGCAGGCAGGCCCGCAGCAGCAGCAGCAGCAGCAGCAGCAGCAGCAGCAGCAGCAGCTGCCGCTTGCACACCTCCGCCAGCATCACGAGTGCGGCCGCCCGCCCATTCGTCTCCGTCATCGTCATCCACGTCGACAGCCGCAGCGGGTGCCTGCACGAGTGCGAGGCCCATGCGAGCATCCCCAGCGGCCGCCACAGCGCCATCCGCCGCCGCAGGGGGGGGCGCCTCCGCAGACTTCGTGTCGGTGTCCATCTTGGCGGCCGCGCGCCGCGCCGCGCGGCGCTGGCGACGGCGCCGCCACCGCGCAGCCCGCACCGCGGGGTCCGCTTCTCCGCTAGGACGAGCACCATGTGGCGCCTCGGCGCCAGCCGCCGCAGCGAACGGGGGCGGCGCAGCGACAGCGAACGCTGCCGCCGACACTGCCGACCTCGCCACCGCCGCGACCGTGCGCCTTGGCGCGCCAGTCGCCCCGCGCACGGCCGCCTCGACAAGGAGGGCCGCCGACGCGGGATCCAGAGCACCTCTAGCGGAGCGCGCGGCGGCCATCGCGAGCACGGCGGGCAGAGCTCCAGGCATGCGAACGCTTAAGCCAAGATGAAAGGGCGAGGAGAGGGAGGAGGAGGAGGGGGGGGAGGGGGAGGGGAGGAGGAGGAGGAGGAGGAGGAGGAGGAGGAGGAGGAGGAGGAGGAGGAGGAGAAAGAGGAGGATGAGGCGGGGAGGAGGAACAGGAGGAGGGGCAGGAGGGGAAAGTGAGGAGGCGGAGGAGGAGGAGGGGGCGGGGGAGATGGGGAGAGGGAGGAAGGAGAAGAAGAGGAGGCGGAGGGAGAGGAGGAGAGGAGGGAGGAAGGGGAGGAGGAAGAGGAGGAGGAGGAGGCGGAGGAGGGAGGAGGGCGGGATAGAGCAGAACCCTGGCTCCCCCGCCGTGCGCGAGCCCTGTGCCCGCCGCGCCCCTCGCGGCCTTAGGAGCGCACCAGCCGCCGGGAGGCCGTCGCCGCTGGGCGGCGGCTTGCCGCAGCGGGAGGCCGCCGTCGTCGCCGTTGCCGGCGTCGTCGTCATCGCCGTCGTCGTCGTCGCCGTCGCCGACGCAGTCGCCGTCGCCGTCGCCGTCGCTGTCGCCCTCCTCCCTCCTCCCTCCTCCCTCCTGTTACTTCTCCTCCTTCTCCTCCTCTTCCTCCTCTTCCTCCTCCTCCTCCTCCTCCTCTTCCTCCTCCTCCTCCTCCTCCCCCTGCTTCCCCTCCTCCTCCTTCCCCTCCCCCTCCTCCCCCTCCTGCCCCTCCTGTTCCTCCTCCTCCTCTCCTCCTCCTCCTCCTCCCCTCATCCTCCTCCTCCTCCTCCTCCTCCTCCTCCTCCTCCTCCCCCTGTTCCTCCTCCTAGCGCCGGCTGAGATCGCTGCTTCTGGAGTGCGCGAGCTCGCGGCAGTCGGTCTCCGGTCGCTGCCCTCGCGTTCCTTCCCGCGGGCTCGCCTCTCGCCGCCCATGGCTTCTCCGCCATGGGCCGCCGCTGGTCGGCCGTGGCGCAGCGAAGCTGAGCGCCGTGCGCAGACCCTACGCTCGCAGGCACGCGCCGTATTGTAGCTGCTGCGCGGCATCGACGCCCGTATGTCGTACAGGGAGTGCCAACCGTCCAGGTTGGGCACTGCACTAGCTGGGCTGCTTCGTCAGCATGCTCCTCACGGCATACCTGCTGGCGCGACTCTTGCTGCTTGCAAGGACAAGGGTAGCGACAAGAGTGCTGACAGCAGCATGAAAAAGGATCCCGCTGTCGAGGCTGCAGCCCACCGTTCGGCTGGCGACCAGGGACCGTCTCTTCAAAACGAGGACCCAACACCACATGATGGTTGGGAAAAACTGCAAGAGCTTCACGAATTGAGGGCGGGTCGTTTTCAAAATGTAGTTCTCGCCTCAGCGCCGCGCGCACCCGTGTCAAACATTTGCAAGAGTTTCACGGATTTCCATGATCAACGTACCAGAAACGACGTTTTGGGAGGATTCAGGATTTTGCGGGTCCAACAGGTATGTTGCTTCGCGGTGCTGAAGTCCCAAAAATGGCGTTCTGGCACGAGTCCCGACTGTCAATATGCAGCAGTCAGGTTGATTTGTGGCGTTGAAATCCCGAGAACGCTGTTCTGGCATGCTTCAGGATCTTCAAACGGTTGTCTTCCAACGAGGGATTTCCTTCAATGGAAATGAACCGCTGTTGGGGCCTATGAAGAGGGAGCTTGGAGGGAGGGTTAATTCCAACATCGTTGATGACTCTTGGGTTCAAACTGGTCCTCCTCCTCCCCCTCCTCCTCCTCCTCCTCCTCCTCCTCCCCCCTCCTCCTCCTCCTCTCCTCCTCCTCCTCCTCCTCCTCCTCCTCCTCCTCCTCCTCCTCCTCTTCCCCCCACCCCCCGGCGCTCCCTGCCGAGTCCGAGTCCAGGCGGGGCCGGGGCGGCGCGAAGGAGGGGGGGCGCGGCAGGCGAGGGCAGCGCCGGCGGAGGCAGGCGCGGCGGCACGTCACAGGCCCGCTCCTTGCGCGGCCCCTCGCCGCCGTCGCCGCCGCCGCCGACGACGACGACGACGATGACGCCGACGACGGCGACGACTTCGACGACGACGACGACGACGCCGAAGACGACGACGACGACGACGACGACGATGACGACGACGACGACGACGACGACGACGACGACGACGACGACGACGACGACGACGGCGACGCCGACGACGGCGACGACTTCGACGACGACGACGACGACGACGACGACGACGACGACGGCGGCGGCGGCGACGACGACGACGACGACAACGACGACGCTTTGCGACGGCGGCGACGAAGGCGGCTCCGCCTGGCGTCTCTCGTGTGTGCTGGACCTCCCGGAGGCGTCTCGTCGCCACGGCCAGACCCGTTGCGGGAGAGGGAGGTCAGGACGTACCCTGGGAGGGGCCCGTGGACCGATTCTGAGCGGATTTTCGGGGGCGGCAAAGAGGGGAGTGATGACTAGGGGGGGTGGATATCATGGCGGGGGCCATGATATTTCCCCAGATTTCATGGCGCCTCTTCTCATTTCATTACGTCCCTTGCACCCCCGCTGGGCCGCGCACATGCCGCCGGTCATGATTTGCACCCCCCCCTCTTGGACACCCCCCTCTTGGCCGCTCCCGAGATTTGGGATGGGCAGGAGAGCCGACGTTGTCTCAAATGGTCATCCTCCGGGGAACGGGGATGGAATAAGGGAGGATTTCTCGACGCGCGGCTGCAGCTTGGTTCGTCTCTCCCAAGTGTGTCAACGTCTTGGCTTGTCGAAGTCCCCGTATTCGAGGCCCACACGGCATCGATCTTCGAACGTCGAATCTCGAAGTCATGTTCGAAATTCGAGCCCCCCCCCTCCTGGGTCGGAGGTTGCCAGAGGTAATCCTGGCCCAACGTGTCCCTCGTCAGCTTCTCGCGGCATCCTGGAGCCCCTGGAGCACTCTGGGCGAGGGGTGCTCATGAGGCCACCCAGGCCTAACATTCTGGGGCACCTTTTCCAATTTCTGGAATAGTAGCTGGGGCGTTCGTGGTTGAGCCGGAGTGGAAGGACAGTTCGAAACGTCAAGTCATGAACCCGACATTTGTAACCACCATCTCGTGATCCCAAATTGTGGTTAGCGGGGCAAGGACCCTGCGTAGACCGTCTGAAGCATTGGCCAATCACCATGTGTGTTACCAATTTGCGTATAGGCTTGTTCGGGCAGCCCTTGACCGCGCAGGCATACAGCAGCAACCACCATCGCACCAACCACCAAGTCGATAGTTCCCTTGGGCCAGGGTCACCTCCAGCAACACCCGGTCCCCCGCGATGTTTGATGTTGATGATGGTTGGTAGTGCTGATTTGGTGTTGTTTGGTGATTGTTGATGCCCATCACCATCAGCCATATCACATTCACCACATTCAGAATCTTCGTCGTCGTCATCACCATCATCATCATCATCAGCATCATCATCATTATTATCATCATCAGCATCATCACCACCACCGTCATCATCGTCATCATCATCCTCGTCATCATTATCATCATCATCATCATCATCATCATCATCATCATCATCATCATCATCATCATCATCATCATCATCATCATCATCATCATCGTCATCCTCAGTATCCTCAGCATCGTCATCATCGTCATCATCATCAGCATCATCTTCATCAGCATCCTCATCATCGTCATCAGCATCATCGTCAACATCAACACCATCGTCCTCATCATCGTCATCATCACCATCATCCCGTCCCTTCCTCCCCCGAATCATACATGATACCAGGTCCTCTCCCCGAGGGCACCCCACACACAAACACACACACACACACACACACACGCACACACACACACAAACGCACACACACACACACACACACACACAAACGCACACACACACACACACACACACACGATTCCGAGGCGGGCCTGGCCGTGGCGGCGAAAGCCCCCCTACCCCCCCGGAGTCCCAGAGGAGAAGGAGGAGAGGAGGGGGGCGGCGGCAGACCAACAAAGTGGTCAAGATCCCGAGCGAGCAGCAGCGATGGCCGCGGGGGGGCGTTGTGAGCCACTGGCGGCCCTGGCGGTGCTGCAAGGAGCACTCGTCGCGTCCCCACCCCCTGTGGGCGAGCTGGTACCCAGCCCCAACTGAAGCACGCAGGAGACCCAGACATCCGACGTCGCGATGTATTCGCAACGTGGCTCTCTTGGGATCTGGACCCCTTCCCTGGGACCAGCTTCTCATCATGAGTCGCTGTTTGACGGTCTTGGGACCCGGCAAGGCCCCCCTGGATGCTGGAAACAACAAAAACAGCAGCAGCAGCAGCAAGAGCAACAACAAAAACAACAACGAACAGTTTAAGATTGTTCATTTTGCCTGCTAGCGTGTCAGTCAACGTATCATGTACATTCCAAACCCTCGATAGCCGCCCTCTTCGTCTTCGATCGTACCCCCTTAGGGGTATAGCTTCCTTACATGTGATGTTTATTCGGCGCAGCCCCTAAATCGGGGAATGGAGGGAGGAGTGAAGGGATAAGGGGGAGGGAGAGGGATAGAGCACGAGAGAGACTAGCAGGAGGGGGGTCAAGAGCAGGAAGGCAAGTGGCAGAACCAGACGGGCGGGTCGGGCGGGTGGACCCGAACGGGCGGGTCGGGCGGGCGGGCCCAGACGGCTGGGTCGAGCGGGCGGGTCGTTGAAGCATGAGTGTTACATGAATCGCAGTGGGAGTCTCGAGCGACACAGCGATTCCCAAGTAAATTTTGAGGTCGGCAAGAGCGAGAGCGTGATCCATGAGCGTCGACGGCACGGCGGCTGAGTAATTTGCGAGGAGGTTCAGGGCGAGAGCGCGATTCTTGGGTGCACTGTGAGGAAGTCCCACGCGAGAGCGCGATTGTGAGTAAGTTGTTAGGAGGTATCAGGTGGGAGCCGCAGCGGTTGTAAACCTGGGGCCAGGGGCACAGCCTGACGAGCAAGATTCCTTTTTGTAGATTACGTAGCACCCTGTAATTGCAGAAAAGAGTGAGGGGGCGGGCGCGGGCGACGCGGGCGTCGAGCCGGCGGACCTCGTGGCCCTCACTTTCCCTGTCGATGGCGCTTTCCTCCTCCTCCTCCTCCTCCTCCTCCTCCTCCTCCTCCTCCTCCTCCTCCTCGTCGTCGTCGTCGTCGTCGTCGTCGTCCGCCTCCTCCTCCACCTTCTCCTCCTCTTCCTCCTTTTCCTCCTCCTCCTCCTTCTCCTTCTCCTCCTCCTCTCCCATCCCGATCCTCCTCCCTCCTCCTTTCCGTCGTCCTCTCTCCTCCTCCTCCTCCTCCTCCTCTCCTCCTCCTCCTCCTCCTCTCCTCCTCCTCCTCTCCTCCTCCCCCTCCTCTCTCCTCATCCTCCTCCTCCCTCCTCCTCCTCCTCTCCCTCCTCCTCCTCCTCCTCCTCCTCCTCCTCCTCTCCCTCCTCCTCTCTCCTTTCTCGTCGTCCCCCTCCGTCCCCCCCTCCTTTTCCTCCTCGCCCTCGTCCTCGGCCTCCGAAGTTTTGGTTTGTTAAGTGAACGTAGTTTGGGTCGCGGTTGGGTCGCGGGCTCTCCACCTCCACCTGGAAGAAATTCAAAAACAGCCCGCCGCAGTCGCCGAACATTTCGATTTGTACACTGAACGTGGTTTGGGTCGCGGGTGGACCGCAGGTTCTCCACCTGGAGCGAATGCAAAAGAAACCCGCCGCAGGCGCCGAAAAATTTGGGTGGGTCGCGGGGTGGGTCGCGGGTGGGGGGTCTCGGTGGGTCGCGGATGGGTCGCGGGTGGGTCGCGGGTGGGTCGCGGGATGGGTCGCGGGTGGGTCGCGGGTGGGTCGCGGGTGGATCGCGGGTGAGTCGCTGGGGGGGCCTCGGGGTGGGTCGCGGGCGGGTCGCGGGGTGGGCGCGGGTGGGTCGCGGGCGGGTTGCGGGTGGGTCGCGGGGTGCGTCGCGGGTGGGTCGCGGGGTGGGTCGCGGGTGGGTCGCGGGTGGGTCGCGGGTGGGTCGCGGGGTGGGTCGCGGGGTGGGTCGCGGGGCGGGTCGCGGGTAGGACGACGACAACAACAAACAACAAGCAACCAACAACAAGCAACACACAACACACAACACACAACAAACAACAAACAACAAACAACAAAAATCAACAACAACAACAACAACAACAACCAACAACCAACAACCAACAACCAACAACCAACAACCAACAACCAACAACCAACAACAACAATACCAATAACAATAACAATAACAACAACAACAACAACAACAACGAGAACAACAACAACAACAACAACAACAACAACAACAACAACAGCAACACCAAGTACAACAAGAATCCGCATCGCGGAATTCCACTTCAACCACGCACCCAGGGACAGTGAATGACTGTTCGGTTCAGCCCCCTCACTCTGATTTGAATTTGACACTGAACGCGGTTTGGGTCGCGGGTGGGTTGCACGTTCTCCACCTGGAACGAATACAAAAGAAACCCGCCGCAGGCGCCGAAAATTTTGGGTGGGTCGCGGGGTGGGTCGCGGGTGGGGGGTCTCGGTGGGTCGCGGATGGGTCGCGGGTGGGTCGCGGGTGGGTCGCGGGTGGGTCGCGGGTGGTCGCGGGTGGGTCGCGGTGGATCGCCGGTGAGTCGCTGGGGGGGCTTCGGGGTGGGTCGCGGGCGGGTCGCGGGGTGGGCGCGGGTGGGTCGCGGGCGGGTGCGGGTGGGTCGCGGGGTGGGTTGCGGGTGGGTCGCGGGGTGGGTCGCGGGTGGGTCGCGGGTGGGTCGCGGGGTGGGTCGCGGGGTGGGTCGCGGGTGGGTCGCGGGGCGGGTCGCGGGTAGGACGACGACAACAACAAACAACAAACAACAAGCAACAAGCAACACACAACACACAACACACAACACACAACAAATTTCAAACAACAAACATCAAACAACAAACAACAAAAAACAACAAAGACAACAACAACAACAACCAACAACAACCACAACAACACCAACAACAGCAACAACAACAAGAATCCGCATCGCGGAATTCCACTTCAACCACGCACCCAGGGACAGTGAATGACCGTTCGGTTCAGCCCCCTCATTCTGATTTTAATTTGTCCACTGAACGCGGTTTGGGTCGCGGGTGGGTTGCACGTTCTCCACTTGGAAAGAATGCAAAAGAGACCCTTCCCGAAAATTTTTGGTGGGTCGCGGGGTGGGTCGCGGGTGGGTCGCGGGTGGGTCGCGGTGGGTCGCGGATGGGTCACGGGTGGGTCGCGGGTGGGTCGGGGTGGGTCGCGGGTGGGTCGCGGGTGGGTCGCCGGTGGATCGCCGGTGAGTCGCCGGGGGGGCCTCGGGGTGGGTCGCGGGCGGGTCGCGGGGTGGGCGCGGGTGGGTCGCGGGCGGGTTGCGGGTGGGTCGCGGGGTGGGTCGCGGGTGGGTCGCGGGGTGGGTCGGGGGTGGGTCGCGGGTGGGTCGCGGGGTGGGTCGCGGGGTGGGTCGCGGGTGGTTCGCGGGGCGGGTCGCGGGTGGGACGACGACATCCAACAGCAAACAACAGCAACACAACAACAACAACATCAACAACAACAACAACAACGTTGCAACCTCCGTCCCAGCCCCGGGCTGGGGCCGGGACGGTCGTACGCACACCGAGGCGTGCCCTCTCTCAGCGGGCCCCGGGTGAAAGCGTTCGCGCTCTCGGTGTGCCACCGACTCTCCCTGCCCCGGGTCGCTTCAAATGGTGCAAACGTTCGCGCGCCTCGTGTGCCAACAACTCTCCCTGCCCCGGCAGGTGCGCCCTTGCAGTACGGCGGCGGCGCCCCCTGGCGTGCCAACGCCTCTCCCGGCCCCGGCAAACGCTGAGCAATACCTGAGGAATCCCTGGAGAACCCCTAGGAATCCATCGGGAATCCTTCGGAATCCCCAGGGAATCCTTCGGAATCCCGAGGGAATCCTTCGGAATCCCTAGGGAATCCTTCGGAATCCCTAGGGGATCCTTCGGAATCCCCAGGGAATCCTTCGGAATCCCGAGGGAATCCTTCGGAATCCCGAGGGGATCCTTCGGAATCCCTAGGGAATCCTTCGGAATCCCGAGGGAATCCTTCGGAATCCCTAGGGAATCCTTCGGAATCCCGAGGGAATCCTCCGGAATCCATAGGGAATCCTTAAGAATCCTTCGGGAATCCTTAAGAATCCTTCGGAATTCCTTGAGAATCCTTGGGAATCCTTGAAATTCCTCAAGAATCCTTCGGGAATCTTTAAGACTTGTTAAGAATCTCTTGGGGATTCCTTAAGAATCCTTAGGGAATCCTTGAGAATTCTTTTGGGAATTCTCAGGAATCCCTGAGGACTCCTTTGGGAATCTTTAGGAATCACTCTGATCATGGCGAACGGCCCAACCACATGCAGTTGTGGGTACCGCAGTTATGCGGATCGTCTTCGGTGGAGCTCCCCATGGAGCCACGAAGCATATAAGGGGTGTGCCGAAAGGGGCATGGGACCGCTTACGAGTCCAGCCACTGGGGCATTCAGTGGAGCTCCCTATGGGGCCACGAAACATGTGAGAAGTGTGCCGAAATGAGCGGGGAGCCGCATGTGAGGACGGCCATTGGGGCCGTAGGTGGAGCTAGCTCCCAATGGGGCCACGAAGCGTGTGAGAGGTGTGCCCACATGGGCGGGGAACCGCATACGAGAACGATTCCTGGAGCTTCGGGTGGAGCTCCCTATGGGGCCACGGAACGCGTGAGTGCTGTGCCGATATGAGCGGGGGACCGCATGCGAGGACGGCCATTGGGGCTTCAGGTGGAAGGGCGGAGCTCCTTCTGGGGCCAGTTACGGGGTATGCCGGAATGGGCGGGGAACCGCGTGTGAGTCTTGCTATTGGGGCCTTAGGTGGAGCCCCCTCTGGGGCGACGAAGCGTTTGAAGGTTGTGCCGAAATCGGCGGGGAACCGCATGCGAGTCCATTCGTTTGGCCTCAGGTGGAGCTCCCTCTGGGGCCACGAAGCGTGTGAGGGGTGTTCCGAAATTGGCGGGGAACCGCCTGCGAGTCCAGCCACTCGGGCCTTAGTTGGAGCTCATTCTGGGGCCACCAAACGTTTGAGGGGTGAGCCGAAATCGGTGGGGAACCACATGTGACTCCAGCGGCTACAGCCTGAGGTGGAGCTCCCTCTGGGGCCACGAAGCGTGTGAGGGGTATGCCGAGATGGGCGGGGAACGGCATGCGACTCCAGCCATTAGGTGGAGCTCCCCCTGGGGCCACGAAGAATGTGAAGGGTGTGCCGACGTGAGTCCAGCCACTGGGGCCTTAGGTGGGGCTCCGCATGGGGCAGCAAGACGTGCGAGTGGTTTGCAGAAAGGGACATGCGGTGGGTAGAGGCAGGGATGGGAGAAGGGAGGAGGGGCGAGGAAGAGGAGAAGAAGGCACGGGGACTGTCTCTTCAAAACGGCGACTCAACACCACAGGATGGTGGGGAACAAATTGGATGCGAGCCCCGGGAGGAGCACTTCAATTAAAAAACACAAGTGTGCATTGGGGAAAGATAAAAAAGAGTTAGTCTTCAGAAGCGAGAGTTCAACAAGCCACAGAACATCCGTCGTGATTTGTTTCATGACGCGAGGATGTCAGTGGAAGGAGGAGGGAGGGAGGGGAGAGAGGGACAGAGCGATTGGGGGGAGGGAAGTCGCAGCAGGAGGAGGAGGAGGAGGAGGAGGAGGAGGAGGAGGAGGAGGAGGAGGAGGGAGCGAGGAGGAGGAAGTAGCAGGAGGAGGAGGGAGCGAGGGGGCGGAGGAGGGAAGTAGCAGGAGGAGGAGCAGCAGCAGCAGCAGCAGCAGCAGCAGCAGCAGCAGCAGCAGCAGCAGCAGCAGCAGCAGCAGCAGCAGTACGCCCCGTCGCCCGCCGCAAGGCAGGCGCCGCCCGGGGCGCGGGCAGGGGCCGCGGCGGCGGCGGGCGCGGCGCCCGCGCGGGCGAGGCGGGAGCGAGGCAGGCCGCGGCCGAAGGAGCGCCCGCGCAGAGGGCCTGAGGGGTCCCGAGGTCGAGGGGGAGGAGGAGGAGGAGGAGGAGGAGGAGGAGGAGGAGGAGGAGGAGGAGGAGGAGGAGGAGGGCCGTAGCCATTTTGGCCCAAGGCCACTGCCCGAAGCCACCCTCTGTCGGTCGGTGAGGGTGTACTCGGTGAGGGTTCGAGTGCCCCACAGCAAGGGGAGCGCCCCCTTTCTTGGCTGGAGTGCCAGGGTACTGACACATCCACAGCAGTACCACAGCACTTTTCTCTGCCAGCATTTTGTTGGCCGCGATGCCCGATGGAGAGGCTCAGAAGAGGGGGCTGGTGGACACTCCTCCTCGTGCTGCTGACCCTAGGGCTGGTGCCACTGCCGACGGAGACCAGCACCCGCGTCACCAGCGAGCTCGAGTGGAGTGATGATTGTCTCTTGAATCTCTCAAGGACTACGTCGACGAAGCCAAGGAGGAGATGTTGGAGGCGACTGCCCAACTGGAGGCACAGCAGTCTGCTGCTGCGCAGGGGACCACAGCTTTGGCGAGAACGGTCACATCTTCCTGTGAGTCAATCTCCAAGCGGTGTGAAGTTCGGCTCGCCAAGGTCGAGCGGGACATCGGGGACTCGAACACCCGCATCAAGAAGTTGGAAGAGCAGGTGCAGCACCTCATGGAAGTACTTGGAGAGGTACGTAGCGGAGTGGCGCAGAAGCCTGAGGACGTCATCACGCCTGGCTTCGTGAGGGAGGTGGACCACACCATCATCATCATTCGGTCCAAAGGTGCACTGGCGAGAGCCACAGTACTTGCGGCTTTGGGAAGTTGGCTCAGTCGGAGCAACCTCAAGTGGGAAAACTACGAGCTGCAGGGGGAGCCGATCGCAAAGAGGTTCGTACTACAACTACGTGGGAACAGTGCGTACGCCAGTCGACGGGCGGGACAAGCACTGGGAGCTCTTCGGAAAGCCGATGGCTCGTGGGAGAGGTTCAGCGGCCGTGACATGGCCGGAGTTGCGTGTGAGGTTTTTGTGGCTGGAGATAAGAATCCCAGCCAGATCAAGAAGGAGTTGGCGGTCAAGACGATCAAGAAGTGTTTCACCGAGATGGCGCCGCAGCACCGGTTCTACGCGGACAAGGAGAAGGGCGAGATCAGCTCTTCGTGGGAGCCCCTGGTGGCGATCACGCCGCAGCCAGGAGATGCTCCACCCATCATCAGGTACTGCGTCGAGAACTTGCAGAACATCGGCATCCAGAAGAACGAGCTTGAGGCAGTGCTGCTCAGGGACTTCCGCGCCCCGTCCGAGGCGACGTGGAGTCTTTGACACCGCATTCGGGGCGTGGTGCAGCCCCAGTGGGAAGCTTTGGCCGCGTCGATTGGTTTCCTGGAATTGCCGTGCCCTCTTCCACCACAAAGTTTTGGTTCGCTCTAAAACGCTTTGGTACTTATCGAGATGTATTGAGGATGGAAGTATTACGGCACTTCAAGAAACTCATGGGAGCCTCGCACAGGATTTTGTGTATCACGCCAGGTTGGACGTCTCTGTACACCACTCCTTTTGGGAAGGGTCGAATGCTGGAGGCGTGGTCACCCTCGTGCCTCGGTTTCGACACCTCGGAGCGAACGCTCCCGCGGTCACCAGTGAGGCGTTGATCAAGGGGATGGTGCTATTAACTACCATTTCATTCTCGGCCACTACATGGATTGCACATATCAACGTACACAATCATAATATTCGACGGGAGGGAAGGGACGCTCTGTTTCGAAGGATCAACGCCCTCCGCGCTGAGGCGGCGGAGTCGCCCACACAAAGGCCGGTGATCTCGATTGGAGATTTCAACATGGGGGCGGAGCCCCCTCGCCGCACCCTGGACCACCCTGGGACGACGAATACCGCTTATAATGACTGGGTGGATTCTAGACGGGGACCTTGGCAATATATTCAGGGAATTTCTAGAGCTGCAGCTTCCTGATCCTACGCATTTCCACCAAGGGGAACATTTACTTACCTAGATCGATAGATGCTTCATATCCAGTCCTGGGTGGGTGATGAATCAGCTATATCTCTCTGGGAAGTGCCTGGGGATGGCAGAGGTGGTCGCGGCCGAGAAGTTCTCGGACCACGCCCCCGCGCGCTTTAAGCTCGAGCGCAGCCCCCCGCGGCCCGTGGAAGAGCACCCCATCCCCAAGAGGGTTTGTGAGCACCCTGAGTTTCGCAGATACCTGGGGAACGTTTGGGAGGCCACCAAAAACGAGTCCATATCTCCTGCTTTGCTCCTGGAATTCCAGACGGCCATGATAAGGGAGGCTGCCGGGCACGTGAGGAATTTGATTGTCGCTAAGCACTCGAACGAGCTTTTCGCGCAGCTCGTGGTGCTGAAGAGCATTGCGAGAGCAGTCTGGCGTCAGGTTCGCTCTCTTGCTGGCAAGGTGATTTCGTCGCACCCTTTGGGCAGACGCTATTTGGAGTTCGACCCGATCAGCGCTAAAGTTCCCTTTCGACCCCCCAACGAGTACCTATTGGAAGCCCATCGGGTTCACCGGAAAGTTTTGGAACGAGATGAAGCTGAGATCAGGCGGGCTCTTGAGGCCTCCACATCGGAATCCCAGAAATCAAAGCTCCGAAGGCGTCTCAAAGGCGTGGTGGCACGTGCGCGACTGCGGCCCCCCTTCGACCGCAGGATGACGCTCTCTGCTGTGCGGCGCGCCGGTGGGGTCAGTAGAACGCCGCGTGAAGCTCTCAGTCTTCTCTCGATGTACTAGGGAAAAGTATTCTCCCACAAGGACGTCGACGTCGTCGGTGCTGAGGAATATCTCGATCAATTCGCCCCGAAATGTGATGAGCTTGCTCGCATTCCCCCGCCCACTCGTCGTTCGATCGAGCTGGTTATGGAAAAATCTCAGCACGGCGCCCCTGGACCTGATGGAGTGCCCTTTGCGGGCTGGAGGTATCATCCGTTCGGAGTCGAAATCCTGGATCGAGCTCTCTGGCGGGCATTACGCGGGCATCGACTTCTCGAGGCACATTACCACGCACGCGGAGCATTCATTCCCAAGGGCCAGGAGGAGGGGGACATCGAGGCGAATATCTCTCGGGAAGCGTCGGCAACACGGCCCCTAGGGCTGAAAAACACACCAAACAAGGTGCTCACGAAAGTGGTGTGTGACGGGTTAGGCCGTGCATTACATAAATTCATTCATCCGTGTCAACGCGGGTTTGTTGAAGGCAGAAATTTTGGAGTATATATCGTGGAGCGCGACGCGCGGGCACGTATAACGTCTTCGTTGCTATATATTGCTCAAAGGTTACCTGCATTGGTGACGTTCGATTCTGGTCAGGCCTTCCCTCTATCCCGCATCAATGGCTGTTCAAAGTTCTACATCGGCCACCTTTGCCACCACCCACGTTGTACTTCTGGCAGGCGCTATACGAATACATGCCGTGCTTTGGTTCGGCCGGATATGTCAAAGAGTTCCTCTACATGATTGAGAGTGGAGTGCTCCAGGGGCGCTCTGGCTCTGGCATCTTGCACGCGATCGCATCGCACCCTTTCGCCCATCTCCATTCTCTGGTCGACGAAGGTAGCCGTCATCAAAGCATCGCCCGTGCATGCGCGGACGACGTTGGGGGAGTGGTCCACGAGCTGGAGTGCGTGAAGCACTGCAAGACTGTGATCGACTGGAGCTCCAGAGTGGCGGGCCCCCTCATTAAGATTACTAAGTGCGCGAGTGTTCCTTTGATGGGAGAATTCAATGAGGAGGTTGAGGAGAAGCATCGGAGGTGGTAAACTCAGAATCTGGCAGGATGGAGAGAATTTCGCATCGAAGCAATGGCTACCTACTTGGGATTGATTATTGGGCCGGCTGCCGGAGATCATAGTTGGGATGCACCACTTCTGAAATAGACAAGGCGCACAGTGATGACTAGCGCCGCCCATGCCCCTGCCTCTGTCACCACCTATATGTATAATAAGCGTTGCCTCTCTGTCTTGTCATATGTGGCGCATTTCATGCCCCTCCCTCTCCGTTCTGAGTGTCTCGCCTCTCCCACGTTGCGTTGTGAGCACGCCGTGTTCTCATCTCTGTACAATGTACCGTTCTGCTGCATTTCTCGAGCGGGTTGGTTCGAATTGTCTGCGTGGGGCGGTCCCCAACTGAGTTCGGCGCTCGCCTTGTGCAGGGCCTCTCTCATGCGTGCTGCCCTGCGCACCTTCCCTGAGTGACGGTTCCTCCTTCGCCGTCTTGAGAGTGCTCGTGATTATTTGTCGCTGGTTGACGCTAGCAGCGGCTCTTGGAGTCCCAGCTTCTGGGTTGGAAGCCCCCTGGTCGTTCATCTGAGCGTCGCCGCTGCTGGGTTCGAATCGAATGCTGCGTTCGCCCGTGCTGGCGCCGCTGGCCTCGGGGCTGCCCGCGAGGTCCTTCGCTCCGCTGCGAGTGCTGATGCCGCTGCCCCCCGACCCAAGATCCAAATCCAGAGCCCTGCCAGCGCTGCCATTAGACAGGTATTGTACCCTCCCAGTCTAAGCAGCCAGTTCGGTGTTCGTTTGAGGACGGTTTGGCCTGGTTTGGCGTTGAAGATTGCTCGCGTAGACTGGGAGGCGCACCGCTCAGTCCTTCACAAAGTTCCGTTTCATGCCGCGAATGTTGTCTGGAAGTGCTCGGCTGTTGCTTGGACCACAAGTGGGAGGATGCATCATCGGAATGAAGCTAGCCAGTTCTGCATGCTTGGTTGTGGAGGGAGAGATTCCTTCAAACACTACTTTGGTGAGTACCAGCGCTTCCGTCTACCATGGACGAGGACAGTTGGCTACGGTCCCCCAGCTTGTCCCATTGCGTGTTTCGGCTTGTTTGCCACTCCCATCCGTCCTGCTGTCCTTGATATTCCTGCCTCTGCCTATCTTCTTTTCACACTTGCTCGGCCTGTCTATCTCGCCCAAAGCTCGCTAAGCGAGCAGCAAATGTTGCAGCTTGCTCCACATGCACGAGCGGCGCTCCGTCGAGGGCGCATCGGGCGGCAGCGATAGA